CAGAGTCACAGTAGGTATTTATGGGTATGCCAGGCTGAGCTATGGAGCTGTAAAACAATAAAAACAGGTGCTCCCAGAGACATCTTGTCATGTGGGCAAAACAATCATTGTTTTTCCTCCTTACTGGCAGCTAACAATAAAAACATAAGTCTGTGCTCTAATGGGTAAAATCTGGAAAGTACCAAAAGCACAAGGCTTCCATATTCTCTGATCTCTGAGCTGCTGACCATATAAATAAAATCTAGTCTGACTGTAAACAAAAAAAAACTAAACCGAAACAGTGATGCCCATGTATGGAGCTTCCTCCTGAAGCCTGAAGATTTTAATCTGAAGCAGAGTGAGACGCAGCCTGCAGTTCCTGGACGAAGTCTGACAGGTACGTGGAGAGAACACACACTGTGCTTTCTTTAAAAAGTCAGTTGTAGCAGTGAATATTATGACTGGTGTATGTGAATGTGAGATATTTTACTCAGCTGTGAGCATCCTGTCTGATAAAGGCAGATTCATGTTGTTGTTTGTAGGACTAAACACTTGACTTTGTCTTGAGCCCAGCGACGAGCGACATAACTGCTTATAAAAACTTTATCAGAATACAAGCGATTATGTGCTACCTCATGCTGCCAGGACAGACACACTGTCATGGAGCAACAGCGGCAGCTAGAAGTTTCCTCTTCATGCAAAGAAATAATGAAAAACATTAGAGTGTTTGTGGACACGGATAGTGTAGAAGACTTCATAGTATACAGTTGTGTCTTAAAGTAGGCGACACACTCTTGTTTGCGGGTGAGGTCAAGAGCTTTTGGGGGTACCCTTGTAGGTCCCCTGTATATAAATAAGTCTGAATTTCCTGGTTTATTACCGTCATGTTCATCTTCCTCTTCACAGTGATGTTGCATCTTTATGCTAATAAACCTCTTTCCTGCAGGGACACCAGCATAAGCCGAGGGATGCAGTACCAGTGGGCTGAATATGATTCTCTGCCAGTAGGGGTGGTTCGACTGGAAACTCAAAGGCCTGATAATGGCAAAACCTATGTCATGTACCACGGCACTACCCGAAGGAATGCTTTAAGCATCACGATCTCAGGTTTTCGACAGTCTGCAGACGGGATGCTTGGTCGCGGGATCTACCTCAGCAGAGACCTGCAGAAAGCGAGTCGCTACCCCCTGAACCACCCCGAGCATGACAGGGTCGTCCTAAAGGTTACGGTCAACGTGGGAAAAGTGATTGCCATCAACTATCAGGGCCACCCACTTCAGAAGAATTGGCATGACTACGGATACGACACCGCCTGGGTGCCTCCCAACTGTGGAATGGTGAATAGTGGCTTACAGGAGAACTGTGTCTGGGATCCTGAACGAATCCAGATCATCAAAGTTGTCAAACCCAAGCCAGTCCAGGTGCCACTCCAAGTGCCACGTGGTCATAGATTCACGAATCGCAGTTCAAGATTTCAAGAGTTCAAGAGTTTGTGTTTTTCAACTCATCATACGACTGTCGTGGTTATACAATACAAATAACACAATACATGCACAACAGTGCTGTAAAAAAAAAAATTTTAAAAAAGAAGAAGAAAAAAATTAGAAAAAATGTGGTGCATACGGCTTCAAGTAAACGCCACGAGCAGTGACAGATTTATTTTGTGTTCAATCATATTTTCATATATTTGTGTAAAAAATAAATGACACTGCATTTTCTAATTGTGTTCCTATTAACTGGAAATCCAATGTGCCATAAATCTGAGTGTCTGTCTGGTTATGGTGATTACAGAGTGTGATGAATTTTCTTTTTTTATTTTCTGATTTTCAATATGTAGCTGCCTTCTTTACTTTACTTTACTTTACTATAGAAGCTAATAGCAGCAAAAACAACAACAAACTAACGTTGATGGTAACTACTTGTGGGTTAGCAAATGATGCTCAAGTCTCTTTAAACTGTGAAATTTGTCATTTCTCATTGATTTACATATAAATAAAGTCATTGTGTTTCCATGCTGTGAGCTGACGTTACTTATTGGTACCTCTCAGTGCGGTTTGCACCACAGCTGTACAGAAAAGTACACAAAAACTACCAAAAGAAACAAAATGACTAAGGACATCAGCTAAATGACTATAAATAGACACAGAATAAGCAAAAATGCAAATAATGACTACAAAAATACCCATACTGTCACAAAGAAACTCTAATGGAGGAAACCTGGAAAGTCCCATAAACTCCCAACTGCCTAAAATCAACTGTTCCTGAGCTGCCGGCTGTTTCGACCACACCCAATAGAAAACATCCAGTCTGACTGTAAACGAAAGGCAGACACATGTACAGGACATGAAACGAAACCGAAACATTTATATCCATATATGGAATTTCCTCCTGAAGCCTGATGCTTTTTGTATGAAGCAAAGTGAGACGCATCCTGCAGTCTTGGACGAACTCTGAGAGGTACGTGAACAGAACACTCACTTTGCTTTCTTCTCTATAAAGTTTTAGCAGCAAACATTATTATGTTAGAAAATATGTAACTCAGCTTTGAGCTTCCTCTCTGATAAAGGCAGATTTATGTTCAGGTTTCTGACTTTCTCTTGAGCCCAACAATGAGCTGCACAAAAACCTGTTTTTTCAGAATCAGATAGATTATTTTAGCTAAACTGTGCCATACATTATTGTCTTTAATGGGAAACAGCCTTTCAACAAGTTGAAAGACTGTCAAAGAGTCCATTTGACAGTACATGATTACCAGTCTCTGACAACTATGCATAGTTAACCCCTTAATCCCTGTGCTGTCTTTTTAGTTTTTTGCTTAAAAAAAACTCAGTTTCGGTCAGTGCCAGCTCCACAACTAAACAACCTGAGGCTCGACGGATCAAAGAGCCTTAGGAAAAGATAAAATACATTTCTGCTTCCATCAACAGGTCAGGGCGTGAGCGTAAAAACTCTGGCAAAAATTATTCTGAAGAGAGCGACTATAACGTCATTTTATCAATAAATCAATGACATTGATGTTATTAGAACTTTTCCGAAAATTCTCAGCTGCAGCTCTACTAAATAGGATGCAACAGAGATGATACAAGACATGTATTTTGTCCCAGTAATACCAGGAAGCCTCTCCCTTTTACTCAGAGAAACATCCTGGTTCTGGTTCTGCTCCGGTTGAAGAAGATAAAGTTTCCAGTTCACCTGACTATTATTAAATGTGGACGCAGTTAAAGCAGCACCTGAATTTTTGGTGATATCTGAAGCTGTGTCCCTGCTCAGGAGGTAGCAATGCTGAAGATTTCAGATGAGTACTCAGCATTTAAATTTAGCCATTATTTTTAAAAAGCTGTATATATTGTTTAGCTATTGTTTATTATGCTTACACATCAATGCTGAGCTACAGAAAAAAAAATGGAATAGATGAACTGCCAACAAAGTGTAGTATCATGTCACCGTGACAGGAAACGCCTTTTTATACAACTACTTTTAGGAGTTAACAGGTTTTCAGAGGAAAGCACACAACAATGCTCTAAAGGAACCTTTTAGGTCCCTGAAAAATTAATTAATTAAAGGTTGTGGGTACTTTGGGTGGAAATTCTTTAGAATAGCAAGAGTCCACAAGCTATAGGCCAGTCTATTACGATTTGAGGGAAACCTGTTTAGGCTTGTTTGTGACGCATCACAAATAGATAACTAATCAACATATCATTTGTGTTTATTGCTTTACGGCAACTCATTATGAAAAATGACTGGCCTGCATTTTTGCAGCTTTGGGAGATAAAAAAAATTGCGTCCCAGCAGACCCTTGTGTCGTAGAAGGTATGGCACTGGCTTTATACAGCTGACACTGCAACATGACATAAATGATAGAAAATAAGGAAAAGCTCAATACGAGCGTACTTTAAAAAGTTCGCTCACCTCGTCATTTCTTTGCAAGAAGAGGAAACCTTTGAGGTGGTGTGCTGTTGTCTGTCCACACAGCACCAGGAATTCTGAATTTCCTGGTTTATCCCTATCATGTCCATCTTCCTGTTTACAGTGATGTTGCATCTTTATGCTAATAAACCTCTTTCCTGCAGGGACACCAACTTCAGCTGAGAGATGCAGTACCAGTGGGCTGAAGATGACTTTCTGCCAGTAGGGGTAATCCGACTGGAAACTGAAAGTCCTGAAAACAACAAAACCTATGTCATGTACCATGGCACCACCAACGCGAATGCTTCAAGCATTCGGTCCTCAGGTTTTCGACAGTCTGCAGACGGGATGCTCGGTCGCGGCGTCTACCTCAGCAGAGACCTGCAGAAAGCAAGCCGCTACCCCCTGGAAGAACCTGAGCATAACAGGGTCGTCCTAAAGGTTAAGGTCAACGTGGGAAAAGTGATTGCCATCAACCGTCAGCGCCACCCACATCAGAAGAACTGGCATGACTACGGATACGACACCGCCTGGGTGCCTCCCAACTGTGGAATGGTGAAGAGCGGCTTGGAGGAAAATTGTGTCTGGGATCCTAAACGGATCCAGATCATCGAAGCCCTGAAACCAACGCCAGTGCCACATTACCGTGGATGTGGTGCATATGGCTACAAGTAAACTCCACAAGCGGTTACAGATTTATTTTGTCTGTTCAAATGTATTTTTATATATTTGGATAAAAAATAAAATTATACTAAATTTTGTAATTGCATCACTTTTACATAGAAAATAAATGTGTCATAAATCTGACTGTCTGTCTGTTTCTAGCAGAGTGTGATGAGTGTTTTTTTATTTTCAGATTTGAACATCTGTTGCCACTTGAATACAACAAGATTATTGAAGTGCTATTAGTGGGGCTCAGAACCCTGGAAAATACATTAAAACTCATGTAAAACTATGCTTTACTAGGAGACGTATTTTAGCACATTTAAACTGAATACATAAGATGACAGCAGATACGTTGATGTACTTTAATACATTACAGTAGCAGACATAACATATTAAGGAACTGAAGGTGTTGTTGTGGGGTTTTGTCGAGCCTACAGATTGTAGATAATAGCACCATTTGCAAGATATCTCACAGTAAAAAAAAAAAAAAAAATATATATATATATATATATATATATATCAGTGAGGGCAATCAAGCTAATTAGTGTTTTTTAAAAGGAGGCATCCTCTAAATGAAAAAGTGAATAAATAAGCTGATGTTAACGACGCTAGCTAGCTAACATCAGAAAAGTAAAGAAAGTTCACATTCTGAACTTGTAGCTGCTGTTTTTACTCTCTATCTTTATATATATATATATATATATATAACTATTAAGAATATATAATTTTGTAAAAGACACTGGTAGCCTAGTACTGACACACACACACACACACACACACACACACCAAGCTCAGATACTGATACATGATGTACCTCTGCTTTGCACGGATAAATCACCACATCCTCCCTGTGCGGTATCACGCACTGATAAGCACACCATCCTCCCTATGAGGTCACCGCAGCAGCTGCAGCACATAACAACAAAGAAAGGAAAAGTATTAACAGCCAGAGAGCGGAAAATATTAGTAGGGGGGTTCTCTTTACAGGGCGTGGTTGCTGAGGATTGAATGAATCATGTGCCAATCGTGTGCCAAGAGATATGGACATATCTGTGCACCAATGAAGGGACAGCTAAGTCTAAACCATGGTTTCTCCCCAACCATGTAGCCATTCACATTGGATCATTTGAATTAATGTTTGTGTTTACTAGCCAGTCACATTGCACTTTACTGTATAAGATGTTCACATGAAGCTCCATCCATTTCTGGGGAAGTTGGTCACAGATTGACAGCTTGCTGCCTGTGATTTTCTGAACCAGTGCTGGATCCTTGATCAAGTAATTTTTTACACTGCAGGATAAACAGCGTTAAATGAGACAAGTTGTTTGTCTTCTATCTCAAAAAATTAACATGCCCCAACATAACCATCTCCTGTTTTGGAGGATTTATTATTTATAGTGCTGTGGCATTCATTTGTTTAATAAAAACAATAGTTTAGCTGCTAATAATAGCAAAACAAACAACAAGCTAACTTCGATGTTAACTACTTGTGGGTTAGCAAATGATGCTAAAGTCACTTTAAACAGGGAACTTCATAATTTCTCATTAGTTTACAGATAAATAAAAGTTACCCGAAATTTGTCTTTTGTACCTCTTATTGCGGTTTGCGCCACAGTTTGCGCCGGATTTCCACCTGCTGCTACCGAGAGGAGCTCCGCTGTTACCGTGGTTACTACAGGGCTCCGCAGGCGGAACGAACCAAACAGCGTGAAGACAGAGGGGTGTCTGAGTGGACCAGTCGAACTTAGGTGTAAAATACAATCACACAGAAAGGTTAATTTGTTTTATAAAATGCATTAAAACAAATAAGAATCCTTACACTATTATCACTTTTTACAAAAACAGAATTTCTTTAACCATTCACTGTAAAAACGTTGAGGTGACAGGTTCCCCCTCCTGATGAATAAACATTTCCAGCTACCCATAGATATATCGGGTTAATAGGTTATAGGTTAATTGGTGATTCTAAATTGTCTGTAGGTGTGAATGTGAGTGTGCTTGGTTGTCTGTCTCTAAGTGTAGCCCTGTGATAGACTGGTGACCTGTCCAGGGTGTCTCCTACCTTCGCCCATCTTCTTGCAAATAGACTGAGTGATGT